AAAGCCGAAACCCTAGAGCGCCCAGTTCGCGCTTTTCAAGGAGGGGGGTGATGTAACGATGCACCCCCTGAAACTGCATCGTTCCGGCATAAACGCCCTGCCGAACCACCCAGCCGACCACCCGCAGAGTGAAGAACGGGCACGGTGTGCCCACCGTATTTTTTTAACGTTAGCATGTACTGTTAGGAAGTCCGCGAACGGACTTACCGCGGCGACCGCCTCGAGGCGCCGAGCGGGGCCGAAGGCGACCGTAGACTGCCAAACGCGATCGCGGCGTCGGGACACCGTAATCACCGACCGTTCCGCCGCACCATCCCGGCGCTCGCGATCGCCGTCGCTACCCCCGCCACTCCGTAACGCCGTCGCGACGCGTATATAAGCCAGGCGTCGCTAACGCTAGTTTGCGATTTCCTGATCATCCGTTTCACCGAACGATCCTGAGTTCCCGCACCAAGCCAGTCCGAAAGATGATAGAGCGCCTCTGGCATACTTTGTTTTCACCGAGTGTGTCTCGGCAAACGACCAGCTTCATCCACAAGGCTATCCGAACGGGGGCAGACTCTGTTACCAAATCCCTTGTTACCGAATCCAGATTAACCCGCTGTACATATCGCGAAAACTTGTTATTGCATATATTAACCCGTTGTAAATATCGCGTGCACTGGTTATAGAATAAACTTTTGTTATTTTCATTAACCAAGACGATACACTTTATTTTGCCAACCTCGTCACGTTTCTGCTCCTCCGCGCCTCTTTTGAACCCAGACCAGCCGCGAGCTAGATCCGCGCTTCGAAGCCAGGTTGTTTTATATTTGTCGTACAGCAATCTCCGTGTCGCGGACGGGTCCGCTCGATCGCGTGTAATTGCGTCGAGGGTTTTCGAATCGTCGTTACCGCTGTGTGCAATTGTCGGTTTGACCGATAGGCGCAAGGAATATTTCCCGTATCGCGCTCTCACTGTCTCTACAATATTGAATATTCACGCTAATGACGCTAGCGGATCACGGGATAAAACTCTCGGATTCAATTATTATTGCGCAACCGTTATACGTGTTGACGCACCAAAAGCTCGCGAAAGACTGTCCGGGAGGAACGAGTGTGACTCTCCTACTTTAGGCTCACGCATGCGCTGAACCTTTCGTTTAGGCGCGAAGCCTTTGCTACGCGCGGCCCTCGCATTGGCCAATCGTGTCATAGGGTGTAGATGGCACGATTCCTTCTGCACCTTGTGCACTGGGATACGCCGAGTCGTTGTCGGAGACTCGGCACCTACACTCTGGAGATGCTACACTAAAATGCAACAACGTGAGTTGGCTATCGCTCGTTCTGTCGTGCGTGAACCAATCACGTCGCTGCACCGATGGATTTCGCGCAAGCGAACAGGGAGTTACTTGATCTGCACCGAGTGACTCTCGAAAAGTCACAATGACGAATCACGACCCTAGGTAAGTGTATTCAGGTAAGTATTACCCCCCATGTGCGAATTTCAAAAAGGCTCAGTGCCGGCTTGGTACTGGTGCCAGAGTTAAGATCGGGGTCATTACTGGGGCAATGTCGGAATGATAACACGGGTCCCAGTCTTGGCGCCAACTTTGGCCCGACACAGAGTACTAGTACGGGGACAACACTGATTACCATATCACTCGCGGCGTGTTGCTTTCGTGCCGCGGTCGTTACCTCCGGCGCCGCTTGAGCAAAAAGCTTTCTAAATCCCCTTACAGCGTGTTGCTTTCGCGCGGTTGTTACCTCCGGTCCCGAGCGAAAATTTTCTAAGTCGACCCAATACATCCCCAGTACTGAGCCGACTTTCGGCCGTAGATCAATATCATTTCTGGCCTTATACACGGTCAGTACTGAGACGAGACTCGCCTCGGAACAGAATATAGTTGCATGGGAGTACTGGTCACCGAGACTGGCACAATACTGATCTAGCGGTTTATCCGTACTGGGGCAGTACCACCCATCATGTCTTGGCAGCCAATATTGTGCCACTTCTGGGCCATGCGGACAACTCTGGCAGAAGTCCGACATTCGCACATGGGCCGTTTTTTTAAATTTATTTCTATTTTTCAGGTACCCAGGATCATCATGGAATCGTCTTATCTCATCACCGAATTCGGCATGAATAAAGGTAAGTATTAAAGGTAAGTAAAATGAACTTAATATTATCGCACGCATAATCTTATACTAATTATTCTTTAAATCGACAGGGAATAATGTTAAAAACTAAAAATTGGGCTCTACATGCTCGCCGTGGCTTAAAGCCATCAAAAGTGTAAAAAGTACAATAAAATGTAATAAAGTGTAGAACTAAAAAATCATCAAAAATGTATTGAACGGTTGAAATAGGTGTTGGTGAATCTAAATCGACCTTCTTGATCGTTAATTATTATCATACTTATGCATAACTTGTACTCTGACTGGCTGAAGGTCGTAAAAGATAATGCAGATAGTTCCGTAAAGTGTAAGAAAAATGTAAAACTAATAAAATTTTTAAAATACATAAAATCGTTATTTTATTATCGGGAACTCATCCCTCTGGTTGTTAATGCAAGTAATAGAACTAAAATAGATGCATAATTGTACAATACTTTGGGGTGAAATAATGTAAGAATGGCCTGGGACGCTTCCCATTGGTTCTCGCTGTGTAAAATTAATCGCAATCTTTAAATATGATATCAAACTAATAAATGAATATAAAATAAGGTATACGCGGCCTTATTGGCCCTTCCAGCTGCCCTTGGGCACTAATGCAATAAAACATGTTAAATATATTGAAATGACTTGATTATCACTGAGC